GCCATTTTCCGAGGCCATCGACATGTGGTCAGTGGGTGCGTGTTATTCAGCATGCTCAACCGGTAGAGACCTGTTTCACTGTGAAGAATATTACACAGTAAGTCATTTATCAAAGCTTGACTCTTTTATCAACTAATGATGCTTGTTAAGGTCTAGTTTAGTAGTTTTTTTCCTCAATGTTTGTTAAAGCAGAACTTCACAAATACATTTTCCTAAACCCACAGCAGTTGATCAAATCTAAAACTAAGGGATTCACCTAACATGTACTACAGAGGGACATAATGTGATTTTAGTGGTGCAGAGAACTATGTTTGTTAGCTTTGGTGGGAGTTATTAGCATTAGCATGTAGACCAGAAGAGAAGTGTTCTTGTTGTTGATGTATCAATGTGTTTTTTCTCCAGCTACAGTTTATGATTGAACTCCTGGGTCAGCCGCCAGACGAGCTTCTGAACTACGCAGTGTATAAACATAAATTTTTTATTGAGACAAAGTCCAACAGCTGGAGGTTCCAGGTACCACAAGTTGTTTCTTTTTTTTTCTTTAGACTCATGTGATACTTTAAGGTTTGCATAACAATTATGTTTATAGACTGCTGTTGATTAGTTAGATTCAGGAAGAGAAACATTCATATAAACACACTGAACCTTCTTTCAGACGATTGAGGAGTACGGGGTAGAGCTCCTTCCACAAGCCCCCAACAAACTAGGCTTTTCATCTCTGGATGATCTCAAAATGGTACAGTGGGAAGCTTCTTGCACTGTCACTGTCAGTTGTATGTCTTAATGGATGACCAGGATGATGGCTTGACTGATGGTGGAATTGATCCTTGTTTTTCATCACTAGATTAAAAGAGTGATCCCAGCCAAGGCTGCAGAATACAAGCAGTGCATCAAGCTAATGAAGGCCATGCTGACGATGGATCAGAACAAGAGGATCACACCCAATGAAGTCCTCCAGCACCCCTTCATCACCCAGTAAGTACTTTAACTTTTTAAAGTGGATTTAGTTTCTAACTGATGGGTGCAGTACAGGCAAAATGTTTTTAAACACCTCAGTACTTCTAGTTATCCATTTATTATTCAGTGTTTTTATAATCTCAGTGATTAATTTGCAAGCTGTGTAAATTTTATGATAAATCCGTTTTCTGGAGACCGGTGTCTTTGGCAAGCCTGGTCCTCACTGGAAATTCTTACTTTTTTCCGACCAAGCAAGAATCTCTGTTAAGTGCAAAAAACTGCAGTTCCTCCATTGTCCACTTGAGACAGGCTGCAAATACCAAGGCATCCCCATTAGGTCCCAAATTGAAATGTACATTTTTACATCACAAACAAAGAATTGTATTTATTTTTTATTGATTGGAAGTCCGGGGGAGATAGTAGGCATATTTTGACCGCAGGAACTTTTTCATAGATCTCTGAACTATTGGAACCCTCCCGTATTTTAACAATTCCACACCGCAGGAACCATGAACCCCTTAAGTTCCTAGAACCCTGTTTAGAGGAACCTTTTTAGCTCCTGTTTCAGAGCAGGCACTCTCCCAGCACCATGGCGGTGGGAATGCATGCTGGTGCTCAAGGGCGACATCTACTGGATCAAACATTATTCCTTGAAGTTGGAATGACAGTAACCGGAACAGAACTCTTACTGTGTGTGTTTGTGTTTTTAGTCTTAACAATGAGGACACTGAGGACAACAAGGACACTCAGGACAACAAGGACACTGAGGACACTCAGGACACTCAGGACAACGAGGACAATGAAGACACTCAGGACAACAAGGACACTGAGGACAATGAGGACACTCGGGACAACAAGGACACTGAGGACACTCAGGACAACATGGACACTCAGGACATTGAGGACACTCAGGACAACATGGACACTCAGGACATTGAGGACACTCAGGACAACATGGACACTCAGGACATTGAGGACACTCAGGACAACATGATAATAAAAGCAGGTGTCCATCATGGGTTGGCAAAACCATCAGCTAAAAATCCCCAAAACAAATTCTACCAGTTCCCTGACAAATATGAGTTCCTGAAAGTCGTGGGCCAGGGTGGCTTCGGGAAAGTGTTGCGGTGTTTGGAAAGAGACACGGACAGTCTTGTGGCTATAAAGATCCCCTCATTTGAAAACAGCTGCAGACAGGAGGTGAGGCATTTGGTCGATTTTGAAGTTCACAACATAAAATAGAGATTTGACAATTTTATAACTGGTGCATCATATTTAACAAGTTATATTTAGTGATCACAAGGGCAAACAAATGTTACCTTATGCAACTGGACTGTGCTTAAATCCCTTTCTAGTCCTCTGACCACTCAAAGCCCCATGTCCCCAACAGAAGTAAAGAATAGCTTTCATTCACATGCCCATGTTGCAAAAAGTTTCCTTGCCTTTCATATTTGTTTTTTCTGACTTTTACACAAAGATTATAACTTTGGTGAACATCTTGTCGTTTTTCTCCCCAGGTGGCCATGCTTAGAAGGTTGATGAGGCTAAAACTTGACAAGCACAACATCGTCAAGTTCCATGGATGTTTTAGTGTAAGGCATGGCGAGGCGCTCGTCTTTGAGAGTCTCGAAACGAACTTATATGACTATTTATATTACAATCATGTGACGTTGGCTGACTCAAGGACTATAATCAAACAGGTATGAATTCGGCAGCTTCAGATAGAAAGCACAAGTAACCGTCTGTTAAACCTTGGTACAGTATCTGACATGTACATGGATTGTTCTTGCAGATAGCCACAGCGCTTAAAGCACTGAAGAACATCGGGGTGATCCACACTGACATCAAACTACAAAACATAATGCTAGTGGACAAGAAACCACCCTTAAGAGCTAAACTTATCGACTTTGGCTTGGCCATGGATAATTCTACAGCCAGGCAGGGCATGGAGCTGCAACCAGTTGGCTTCAGGTAAGATCCAAGATCATGTTGATTATGTGCCAGCATACTTTTTCATTGGTTTCCAATTAGGAAAAAGCCATTGTTTGCCAAATTATTGTTTTCATGTTCACTCCTTGGAATATGACAGTGTTATTGATTCTATCTAACACTTTTCTTCAACACATTTAGGGCTCCCGAGATCATCCTCGGCATGCCATTTTCTGAGGCCATCGACATGTGGTCAGTGGCTGCGTGTTATTCGGCATGCTCATCGGTAGAGACCTGTTTGATTGTGAAGACTATTACACAGTAAGTCATTTACCAAAGCTTGACTCTTTTATCAACTAATGATGCTTGTTAAGGTCTAGTTTAGTAGTTTTTTTCCTCAATGTTTGTTAAAGCAGAACTTCACAAATACATTTTCCTAAACCCACAGCAGTTGATCAAATCTAAAACTAAGGGATTCACCTAACATGTACTACAGAGGGACGTAATGTGATTTTAGTGGTGCAGAGAACTATGTTTGTTAGCTTTGGTGGGAGTTATTAGCATTAGCATGTAGACCAGAAGAGAAGTGTTCTTGTTGTTGATGTATCAATGTGTTTTTTCTCCAGCTGCAGTTTATGATTGAACTCCTGGGTCAGCCGCCAGACGAGCTTCTGGACAACGCAATGTATAAACATACATTTTTTATTGAGACAAAGTCCAACAGCTGGAGGTTCCAGGTACCACAAGTTGTTTCTTTTTTTTCTTTAGACTCATGTGATACTTTAAGGTTTGCATAACAATTATGTTTATAGACTGCTGTTGATTAGTTAGATTCAGGAAGAGAAACATTCATATAAACACACTGAACCTTCTTTCAGACGATTGAGGAGTACGGGGTAGAGCTCCTTCCACAAGCCCCCGACAAACTAAGCTTTTCATCTCTGGATGATCTCAAAACGGTACAGTGGGAAGCTTCTTGCACTGTCACTGTCAGTTGTATGTCTTAATGGATGACCAGGATGATGGCTTGACTGATGGTGGAATTGATCCTTGTTTTTCATCACTAGATTAAAAGAGTGATCCCAGCCAAGGCTGCAGAATACAAGCAGTGCATCGAGCTAATGAAGGCCATGCTGACGATGGATCAGAACAAGAGGATCACACCCAATGAAGTCCTCCAGCACCCCTTCATCACCCAGTAAGTACTTTAACTTTTTAAAGTGGATTTAGTTTCTAACTGATGGGTGCAGTACAGGCAAAATGTTTTTAAACACCTCAGTACTTCTAGTTATCCATTTATTATTCAGTGTTTTATAATCTCAGTGATTAATTTGCAAGCTGTGTAAATTTTATGATAAATCCGTTTTCTGGAGACCGGTGTCTTTGGCAAGCCTGGTCCTCACTGGAAATTCTTACTTTTTTCCGACCAAGCAAGAATCTCTGTTAAGTGCAAAAAACTGCAGTTCCTCCATTGTCCACTTGAGACAGGCTGCAAATACCAAGGCATCCCCATTAGGTCCCAAATTGAAATGTAAATTTTTACATCACAAACAAAGAATTGTATTTATTTTTTATTGATTGGAAGTCCGGGGGAGATAGTAGGCATATTTTGACCGCAGGAACTTTTTCATAGATCTCTGAACTATTGGAACTCTCCCCGTATTTTAACAATTCCACACCGCAGGAACCATGAACCCCTTACGTTCCTAGAACCCTGTTTAGAGGAACCTTTTTAGCTCCTGTTTCAGAGCAGGCACTCTCCCAGCACCATGGCGGTGGGAATGCAGACAGAAAGAAAAGTCCCTATGGTGTGTAGTTCTCAAAGAACCCCCTCGTGGATAGAGCCTCTTCAAACAAGTCCCCAGAACTGAGATCCAGTCAGGTGGGATCTCAGTCTGTTCTTTCAGCAGCACACGGCCTCCTGCAGAGTGACAGAGATGTGCAGAGTAGTGTCAAGAAGATGACCACCACCAGAACTGTTTGATCTGAGTGTTTCCAATATGGTGACACATAGCGCCTCTTCAGAAACCAATGGTCACTGAGACTGTGTTCATTTTATTTATAAAATATGAATACAAACACAAATAATCCTGTGATCAAGGTTATATTGGGCCAAAATTAGCTTTTCCTTTGGTCTTAAAAACTTTTGGAATGACTGAATTCGATTTAGACATTTACATCAGTGTGACACTTATTGTTTGAACACAACAGGAAGAAGAGCATCGTTTCAGTTCCAACAGACCAGCATAGTCCACCTCCCACAGTTTTTCCATCAGCTTTGATCCAAGTCCGGCCTGCAAAACCTGAGAACATGCTGCAGCTAGAGGAAGAAGAGACATCAGTCAGGTAAGAGGAGTGAGAGGAACCTTTAAACACACAAATATAGCCCATTTAACTCTTCTTCATTATCATTACAGTGAAAGCACTTGTGCATCAACAATAATAATACAATCCCACAGCAAAGTAAAATTTAGGATAACATCTTATCTCTGTCTTTGCCCTGTGTGAGCCTGGAGTGAAGCTCTCATATTTTGGTTTTCTCACTTTAAGATCTTAACTAGAAATGAGACAACAGCAAATAAGTCAATAACTCGTGAGATTCTTCTTTTCAGCTGTGGGATAGTTAAAAAGATATGATTCCTGATGGATACGCTTACTTTTCCATATTTGGATGCCAATCCTCTTAAATTTTGATGCAAATGTTTTAGTAAGGTTGTCACATTTGTCGTCTTCAATACTTGTCGATACCGCTTGTTTTTATAACAATGAAATCTCCACTCTTTTAATGATCAATAGAATCAAAAAGTACAAATTTATAAGGTTTTATAGATCACGGTCATTCCGTGTAAATGTACAAGCAATGTGAAGCTACGAGCTATCTAAAGTGTGTTAGCATTAGCCCTCTAACACAACAATGCAGGCCACAGGTGATTGCAGCTCGAGCCAAGGGCCTATTTTGTCCACCGCTTGTGCTCAACTCATTCGTGTAGACGCGAGGGGATGGGGGTTGGAGGTGTGTCGCTGGAGGACAGTGGAGGCCTCAGTATGGCAGAGGTGTGGCCAAATGTTTGCTGAGGTTTCATGCTGGTGCTCAAGGGCGACATCTACTGGATGAAAGATTATTCCTTGAAGTTGGAATGACAGTAACCGGAACAGAACTCTTACTGTGTGTATTTGTGTTTTTAGTCTTAACAATGAGGACACTGAGGACAACAAGGACACTCAGGACAACAAGGACACTGAGGACACTCAGGACAACATGGACACTCAGGACACACAGGACACTCAGGACAACAAAGACATTAAGGACACTGAGGACAACAAGGAAAACGAGGACACTGAGGAAGCCAACGAGGAGGACAACAAGACACCATCAACCTCAGATGGCAACGACAGCAAGCAGAAGAAGAAGAAGAACTGCTACCAGCGTGTTAAATCCTGGTTCAAGAAGACGTTCTTCTGTAACCGAGTCGATGTCATGTAGGATGAACGAGACCACAAACATAAGGACAGGTTTTTATACTACTCTTCTTTTTCAATATTCCATGTTTGATATTTTTGATTCCAGTTCGGGGAGGATCTGAGTAGATGGAGAGCAGTTAAATAATCATTTTGACACCACACACTTAAATTATTTTAAATTATTACAAAAAATTATCAGTTGCCACAAGTGTCAAATCAGGCCACGCCCCCTTCAATCCTTTACGGGGCAGGGTTTAAAATCGTCTAGTGTGTAGCCAGCCTAAAACACTTCCCAGAGCTGTACAGGGCAGCACGGCGGCTCGGTGGTTAGCACCGCGGCCTCACAGCAGACACATCCTCCTGTCTGTGTGGAGTTTGCATGTCCTCCCCGTGACTGCGTGGGTTTTCACCGGGGGTCTCCGGTTTCCTCCCACATCCCCAAAAACATGCAGCTTCAAGGTCAATTGGACACTTTAAATTGTCACTTTATCTGGTCAAATCAAATCAATAAGTGAATGTTTTAAATTGATCAAACTGTCTCATGACTTTTTAATAACAAAGCTTTGAAAGAAATTACACGACATCAGTCATATTTTAACCGACAGCCTCTGCAAGCAGGAAAGAGAGAGAGAGAGAGAGAAAGAGAGCGGCTGTGGATCAATCAAGTTCACAAGTCTGTGAATACAAAAAGAATAATGAGAAATGAAAAATAAATTAATGAATTATAACATTCTGCATCTTGTTGTTTGTTTCTCATTTATTGGCAAAAATAAACTAATATGGTGCATTATGGAGAATGAGGACACTGAGGATACTCAGGACAACAAGGACACTGAGGATACTCAGGACAACAAGGACACTGAGGACAATGAGGACACTCAGGACAACAAGGACACTGAGGACACTCAGGACAACATGGACACTGAGGACACTCAGGGCAACAAAGACACTGAGGACAACAAGGACAAAATGGAAACTGAGGACAACAAGGACACTCAGGACACTCAGGACAACAAAGACATTAAGGACACTGAGGACAACAAGGACGACAAGGACAATGAGGACAATGAGGACACTCAGGACAACAAGGACACTCAGGACAACAAGGACAATGAGGACACTGAGGACACTCAGGACAACATGGACACTGAGGACAACAAGGACACTCAGGACAACAAAGACATTAAGGACACTGAGGACAACAAGGACAACAAGGACAACAAGGAGCCAGTTTGTGTCCTTTTCATACATCATTTTACAGATAAACATGGTCTTGCAAGTTGAAGTGAAAACTTCTCTTGAACTAACTGTTTTTATCGACTACACAAGGAAGTAGCCTATTTCCTTATTAGGGAAACCTTTACTAAAGTATAACAAGATGCTCAAAGTTTTTCATTTGAGAACAGGCTGCTGCTGCTCTTCGGATATAGACTAAAATAACGACTTTATTATTTTATTAGTTTTTAAGCGTTCTTCTCTCATCATTTTTGCGCAGGCTGGTCTCGAACTTCATAAATTTACGAGTTTAATCTCGTAAATGTACGACTTAATTCTCAAAAAGGTACAACCTTATTCTTGTAAATTTACAACTTTATTCTCGTAAATTTACGAGTTTAATCTCAAAATTTTAGATTTCTTTTTTAACGTGTCCCTAATCCTCCGTCGTACAATGCAGATGTAAACTTTATGTTTTTTAGATGTGTTGTTGGTCTGCTGCAGACTGGTCAATTATTAATTACACTTAGTTTCACTACAGTGCTTGGCCGTTACACTTAACTCACTTACAATAAAAACAAGAATGCAAACTAATTTTCATACTTAACTAGCCAAAGTTAGGACAGACAAATGTTTTTGAATACAAATGTATCATTAATGTTAACATGTTTTTAGATAGTTGCAGATCCTGTTGTTAAGGTTTCTAGAACACTCATGCACAAGCGCTCAAAAGGCGCAGCGCTTTTTTCTGAAAAAAAAGTCAAGTGTGAACACAGCCTAAGGGGACATTAAAAAAAATGATATATTTATTTGCAACACGGGATTGGAGTTTTGGGATAAGAGCAGCTTTTTTTGAAAGACGCACTTATTTACTTTTAAAAGAAATTTCTTAATTTTTGAAAATGTTGATTGTTTTTCTTTTCATTAAAGACACTGTACTAAATACAAAATACCAGAAAATCATGTTTGTTCATTTGATTACTAACAATTTATCATCTCAGAGCAAATGTAGCCCTTATTATTGAATTGAACTAAAAATGCATTTATGTTCATCACTTTCTTTATATAGCTTTTGGTTCTATCTATTCAACAAGAGGTTTATCAAGTATGAATTTTCTTCATTGAGAAGATTTTGGAGCTTTTAATTAACCCCGGTCTGTGACATAAATGAGGGTTTGTATTAAGCTTTGGCAATGTTCATTATATTTTAACTAACTGTATGATTTTGGGACGGTGATTTGTTTCAGAATTTGTCTTCTGAGACATTACACAATAAAATAAAATGATCCATCACTTACTGCCAAAACCAAAATAAATCTGTGACTCCGATAAGATCAGAAAATAATCTACCCACACTCTTTTTCTTTTTTACATCAAAATGAACCTTTTTCTCTCTTTCATCTCTCTGC